AACTATGCCATTTATGATTTGCATGTCTTGCTTCTCTGCTTCTTGGTTCTTTTCTATATAATTTAGATTTTAGGTCCTATTTATGTTTCAGACAAACTGGTCACCAAATAGAAAACATACACCAAAAGGGTTATAGTGGAATTTATAAATTAAAGTTATAGCGCCATTACTATTGTCTTACTTTGCTTCTTACCTTCTTTTTTCCCCACTCCTTTCTTTTACTTGTGTTCTACTTCTGCTATGTATTATTATCTCTAATCTACTGACCCTGATAAATACATGACCCTTCTTCTAGAATGCATGCTCCATTGCAGGCTGCTTGGGGGTTCTGCCACTGCCTAGGCTACTATCCAGCTCTTTAGTAGGTGACATGTGGTTCCCTTCTGCTCTTTACCCATAGATTGTCCTTATTTAAAGTCACAATTTCTCAGATTGCTTCAATACCACTAGACAGCTGATTGTAGGCTTAGTTTGGTACTACAATTTCATGTCTGGCAATTATAACTCACACTCCACTTACGCTGAAAACCAAGTTTCCTCCGGGACCCACTGAAACTAAGACCCAGGTCTTTATCTATTTCTATTACTAAGATAATTAACACTTGGAACTAAGGATGTAGCTTGGTGGTAAAACACTTGTCAGGCATGCATGAGGTCCTGGGTTCAATCTCTGGTACTACAAAAACAACACTAGTAACAACAACAAAAAACCCTAAGAAAAATACTATTCTATTCTAACAGTGAATAGTAATCAGTGGCTGAGTCCATCTCCTCTCCAGAAAGCTTCCTACGTTTATAGGCAACTTCAAGGTGTTAACACAAAGATGACAAGCAATGGTAGAATATGAGGCCTTGGGGGCGTAGATGACAACAATAACCAGGCAGGAGCCAACTTCTGTGCTTAGGGACATACCTGGCATGCTCAGAGCATCACACAGTGCAGAGAGTGGAACCCGTGTGGCAGCTGTAGCCACGTTCAGAGCAAATGCCTCAACCTCTGGACTGTCCCTCTGGCAGGGGTATGGGTCCGAAGCATCTCTCCTTTCTCCCCATCAGCTGTTCCCTGGTTCTTTTACTACCAGAATTAGAAGCTCTGAATGTCAGCTCAGTCTCCTTCTTGTTGAATATTTTCAACGTGAAACATCGTTATATAAAACTATTTCATCACTGAAAATGCAAACAATCTCATATTCCTAGCCACTGCATCACTTTATTGCTTCCTGTCTTACAGAATTTTCAAAAGTGTAACCAAAAGTTAAGTATTCTAATTAATTGAAGGAAGAAAAAGGCAACACTGTAAAAACTAAACAAAACCAAGAAGGAAAACAGGATAGTTTCTCTGTCTCTTTTGTTTTGGGGACCACATCAGTGGCGCTCAGCAGCTATTTCTGGTAGTTCTCAGGCACCCATACATGCCCAGACCCACTGCATGTGGACATGTAGTATGGTCCTTTAAGCGATCTCTCTGGCCATTTCTGCAGTTACAGCTTCCATGGATCCCTGGGCTTTGTCCCTGCCTCCCTAGAAACACGGACTGATGTGCTCATGTTCCTTGAGAAAGCCTGTCGAGGACTTGCACTGATTGCTTCAAGAGCAGGACAGGATCCCTCAGTGCAGGACTGAGAGCTCAGACTTGCTTCTTAGCTTTCTCCCACCACCTCCAGCACAAGCAGCTGCGAGGGCAGACCCAGCATTTGCAGAAGTGCCTTCATTAGGGGTTAAAACATGGGAGGTTTGGGGCCAGAGTGATAGCACAGCGGGTAGGGCGTTTGCCTTGCACGCGGCCGACCTGGATTCGATCCCTGGCATCCCATATGGTCCCCCAAGTACCACCAGGAGTAATTCCTGAGTGCAGAGCCAGGAATAATCCCTGAGCATCGCTGGGTGTGACCCATAAAGAAAAAAAAAGGGAGGTCAGAGTGTGTGCTCACTCTTATCTGTGCCCCTTTCCAATAATGGTATTGAATACTTATTTTTTGGCAGCACTTAGGACTAAGCCAGAGCCTTACATGTGTGAGACATGTATTCTGTAACTGAAACATGTTCCTGACCCTTTAGAAAATGGTGAAGCAAAAATTTGAAGCATAAAACCCTACTAGGCCCAGTTTTGGCAAGTTTTTCTTGTTTTAGTGATAATCTGATAAAGTTATAGAAGAAAGTAAATGAGTATAATAAGCATATTCTTGCCTCAATTATTTTCACATTGGACATCATAAATTAGTATTAATAGGTGGTAAAGTATTTTTTGTGCAGAATATAAAGTGTTGCACTACAGTTGGAAATCATGTACAGAAGAATCTCTTAGAAACTTCTAAAACAGTTGTCTGAGCCTGATACCTTGGGACACTACCAAATATAACTGTTGCATTGAACTTGAACCTCCTAAAAGGGGGCAATGTTTAAGAAAACCCTTTTATTCCCATCTCAGAGACAGTAGTTTAGAACTAGATACATATGTACATAATGAGGAAACTTTCCGGTTACATAAATTGATCTTTCAGTTTGAGGTACAGATGTCTCTGTATTAGTGAATTAGAATACTGCCTAGCTAGTATCCTTGTTTTATCCATTACTTTTCTTCCTATTGTATTCAATTATATTATATGATTCTTTCATGAAACTATTTTGTGTCTGTAATCTCTACTCATCCTTGAAAAGCAACCATGAGCTGTTCCATCCAGATTAAAGCTAGTAAGTTTAGTTTTCTTGAAATTGTTCAGCAAGTGGAAGCATTTCAGAGTTAGGGAAAGATCTATCACTTCTAATCACACATGTGGATTTTCACATGAGGTTGATGGAGTAGCCCAGAACATGCTGGACCCGTACTGCACTGTCCCGTACCTCACAGTCCCGTCTTTGCAGCTCTGTACCCCACAGTCCTATGTCTCTGTCCCAAATTTCTCAGTTCTGTACCCCAAAGTCCTGTGTCTCTGCCCAACTCTCTCAGCTCTGTACCTCACAGTTTTATGTCTCACAGTCCCATAACTCACACTCCTGTTCATATCCCACAATACGATACCTCACAGTCCTGGCTCTCACCATCTTCTGTCTCCCAGTCCTGTACTTCACAACCATCACTGTTCTACTTCCTGAGTTCCCTTCAGCAGAATTTTTCCCTTTCAACCAATCCCAGTGAAATGTGAAACCTTCTTGAAGATCTTAGAGATTTTAAATACACACTAATCTGCTTTTTTTGTTTTTGTTTTTCATCTATTATATGGCTGCAAGTCTCCACCATTTTGATCTAAGATCATTTTAAATAAGGTTTCAGTTAGTTATTTAAAACCCACAGAAAGGTAGAAAATTTTATTTAAAGTTCTGTGATATCTGTATATAATGGAATTGGATGTATAAAAAATTATTAAAAAATAAACTCTCATCATTACATCCTTTAAAACTAAATACAATCCAGTAAGCAACAGACTATCAGCTGGAACATCCTTGAAGAAATGCCTAAAGGAGCGACTATATTTTCTGTAAACAGAGTCTACAATCAGAAAATCACATCCAGGGCCAACAGAGCCTTCCCCACAGTGATGCGGGACCATGAAGAATAGTCAAGATAGCAGTGGACACCAACAGCAATACAGTAGACTGTGTTTAAGGTCTAACACAGACCTTAAAATTGGAAGCTAAAAATCCAGTTACACAACGTATCCAGGAAACTAAAGAGGAGAGCACTGTTTTTAATTAGACTGGTGAAGATTAACACCATATGAAGCAAAGGACAGCAAGTTGAAAACCAGTATCTGTGTAAAATAAATATTTAAATAACTCAAAGATCTACTTTCACAGTAAAAGTTACAAAAATAGAATACACTCTACATGGATGTAAAAAATAGATTGCTTTATAAAATATTTTGCTCTTGGGAAACTCGTTTTTCATTTCCTGTAATAATTTTATTCCTGAAAAGATCAATTTTCATCAAACTTAGTGGGCCTTGAAGCATACAGCAAGGTTGCTTTGCTGTGTCATTCTCACAAAAGGTGTTAAACCAGAAACCCATCTTCTGTGGGGCCCACTGGCCAGTACGGAATCAGGGTCTCAGCCACTTTCCACAACACTGGGTGTTAAGAGTCTCCTGGCCATCCAGAGGACACCCAGATCCTCAGACGTCCATTTGCACCATGACAGAACTGATGCAGCTTGGGATCTTATTCTCACAATGCAGAGCAGTGCCCCCAGCAGGATATGCCCCTCTTCTGTAGGAACAGGCTTTCCCATCTCCTGAGAACTGTGACCAAGTCTGTGGGAGGCCATTCTAGAAGGAGCTGGGGAGGAGGGTGCTGCTCCAGTTCTATCAAAAGAAAACGCCAGGATTCTCTACTAACTTGAAGAAACTTCCATTAGAAGAGAAAGACTGTTTAGCATTGTTTCATCTCCGAGATGTCTTTTAACGTTTCTACACACCTACAGTCCAATGGGAGTGAACTGAATAGAATGTTCTTGTAGGTCTCAGGTGATTTTAGAAGCATATCAGTAAATAAAGGTGGTTCTAGAGTTTTGGAATTAAGTTTTGGAATTCTCTGTAGTTAACAGAGCAGTGATGCTTCTCTGTAGTTAACAGAGCAGTGACACACACGCTGTGCATGTGTGTGTGCGTGTGTGTGTAAGAATGTGCGCTCAGTGTTTGTTAGGAAATACTATTCAAGTAGAAGACACTTTTCAGGATCACAGAACTGAGTTAAATGCAACAGTCTAAGACGGTCGAAGAGGTCTCTGCCGTGGCTGGCTTTTCTCGTCTTTGCCATTTTTCTTTTATAAGTAGATTTAGATATTATCACATGTATTATCATACCTCTCCATTAGCAACCAGTTAAAAAGGCTCCCCTGAAAATCTTCACCAGCAGCTTTCCTGTCTTCTTCTGCTGCTGGAAACAAGATTTTCCTCAAAGGAAAGGCACAGAGCTGCATCCATGTCCGAGGGCTACGTCCCAGTGAACCTCCAAGTCCGTCACCCATCTCTGCATAGCTTCTCAGACCTTCTTTGGTGGAGGCTGTTTTCCTGGGAAGCAGCAATGATGCTCATCTGGAGCCCTGGCTAACCTGGTGGCAGCGAGCAAGGTCCTGGTTCCCCAATATCCACAGCATGTTTCACTGCCCCGTCATAAGAAGACTGGCATCCTGAAGAGTGAGGAAACCGCAGTGAGCAACATGGGTTAGACAAAGGCTATGAAGTTATAGCAGTCAGCCTACAGCATCTATGGGCTTGAGTCTTTGGTCCTAGGCACTTTCCTGGAGCGATAGCACAGCGGGTAGGGCGTCTGCCTTGCATGCAGCCAACATGGCCGACCTGAGTTCGATTCCTCTGCCCCTCTCGGAGAGCCCGGCAAGCTACCGAGAGTATTCGATATGCCAGACACAGTAACAACAAAGTCTCCAATGGAGACGTTACTGGGCCCGCTCGAGCAAATCGATGATCAACGGGAGGGCCTTTACTTACTTTACTTTACAATTTTGAGTTTTGAAAAGAAGCTGATAACAAAGACAGCTATCATCTGTTTTTTTTTTTTTTCCTTGGAAGAACAAACACTTGCTTCCTTGCAGCCTTCTTCTGGACTAGAAAACTTGTCTGTCAGGGCTGGAGAGATAGCACAACGGGTAGGGCGTTTGCCTTGCACGCGGCCGACCCAGGTTCGATTCCCAGCATCCCATATGGTCCCCTGAGCACCGCCAGGAGTAACTCCTGAGTGCAGAGCCAGGAGTAACCCCTGTGCATCACCAGGTGTGACCCAAAAAGCAAAAAAAAAAAAAACTTGTTTGTCTCCATTCAAATTTCTTTGAATGTTGTAAACTGTCTTGCGAGCAGTTGTAACCAGTGCTACCTATCACTAGGTCTGGCCAGAAATAGAAAACGAGGTAGTCGGGCGGATGAGCACTTGGAGCAGACAGACGGGCCCCTTTATGTACACTCATCCTCCTAAATGACCTTGGCACCGAGTTGAGACAGAAAGGGTGGCCTTATGGTTATTCAAGCTACCTGTTTATTCCTATGGTTATTCAAGCATTTGACTCCTTACTGGTAACTGACACACTTCTCAGCATGGTCCAAAGAGAAGGAGGAGGTGCGAATTACCATCTGTGCCTCACCCTCTTCAGTCTACCTGTCAGCTGCCCGGGTGCCTTCACAGTGCCCTCCTTGATCCCAGAAATGTGAACAGAGCATGGGACAGCTGAGCCTTTGGCCTTGAAACTGAGCAACGTTTATCCCTGATATCCTCAAAGAATATCCACAAGTTTCCACTCTTTACCAGCAGTATAAAAGTGCACCTTTCTAGACTGTGTTCAATAGACCTGCATCATCCAGGTCTTCCCTCTCAGGGAGCTGAGGAACAGGAGGGTACCTGAAGTCAGGCAGATGGAACAGCAGAGTTTCTGTCTGACACCAGGAGAAACCGAAACCCACAGGTGCCCATGTGCAAGTGCCCCTGTTCCTTGGGGAACCCTATAGGACTGTGAGTGCCACTCTCCAGCTCTGACATTTTCCATGGATTAAAAACTTATAAACTTGTTATTTAGTTCTAGGCAAGGTGCTCTTATTTTAATTTATAATATCTGTATCTATTAAAATAAAATTATATAAAAGCAACATCCCAGGTTCTCTGATTTTCCAAAGGAATCCTAATTTAAACCCACATGGACACAAATATGTGTCCTTACAAACTAGAGAGGCTGTGGCTTCCACAGATTGCAGAAGTCCTGGGACTTATGTCAGGCAAGCAGGCCTGTGAGGAAAGGTCCTATCATCTACTGTTCATCAAGCTGCCCGGCCAGGCTGCCCAGTGCTGGCAGAGATCTTGTGCTAGCCCCTGGCTCTAATGACTGGGCATCCTTGGGGGGAAAGAGGAGCATGGTGGTTCCGGTGCAGATATGGTCTCAGCACCTGAGCTGGAAAGAGCCTGACACACATGTGCTCAGTCCTCCCAGCAGCTTGCCAGGAGGGATCCTGAAAGCAAGATTCAAAGTAGAGTAAGCTCTGTTTTGAGTCTAGGGGAATAAACTGTGATGTAACTGCTTGCTTTTCATTTGTTTCTGTGTCACATCTCGTGATGCTTAAGGGACCATGCAGTGCCAGGACTAAATCTGGGGCTCCTTCATGCAAACCATATGCTAGATTCCTGTGGATCCCTCCCATCCCTGTGGACCTCTCCTGACCCTGTCTCTGTGGCTCCTCTCCCTGTCCCCTTGGGCCCCTTCTGTCCCTATGGACCTCCTCGCAGTCCCTGTGGACCACTTCCCCATCCCTGTGGACCATCTCCCCACACCTGTGGAGTGTTTCCCCATCCCTGTGGACCATCTCCCCATCCCTGTGGACAACCTCTCCATCCCTGTGGACCATCTACCCACCCCTGTGGAGCATCTCCCCATCACTGTGGACCATCTCCATACCCATGTGAACCATCTCCCCATGCCAGAAGGCCCTCTCCCTGTCTGAGTACCATATCCCTGTCCCTACGAACTGCTGGTGACCTGCAGAAAAATGGCCAGGTGAGGTGTGAGTCATGTGCCCCCTCAGAGCCACGACATGAAGCAGTCCCTCCCCAAACAAGGGACATGCTCCAATGTGGAACAGAAGAAAGTGAGCTGTAGGTGGGATAAGTAGGGAGCTGGGCTCTTCTGATCTGCAGAGATCTATCCCCCTTTGGAGCTCCCAGACCAGCTGCTAGTCTCTCCCTCAAAGACTTTTTGTCTTAAGCGTAAGCCCTCCCAGGCTAGCCAACCACATGGGTTACATACACTCAACCCTAAGAGGTACTGTGAGATTATAGGTTTGTGCTGTGTTAAGCAACAACACACAAGATGCCTGCAAGGACTGTGGACAGGGTTCCTTGTGGAGAAAATCCTGGGCCTGCCATGTGCAGGCCCGTGACCTGGGTAGTGGTCACACCAGCCCTTCCACCTATGCCATCTGAAACACAGGGAACTCTGGCAACACAGAGAAGCAGTTCCCAAGCTCACTTTTTACCTACTTCCACCCATAGCACTATTTTCCTCCTTCAGATTCCAGTCACGAAACAGATACACAGGTGACGGACGGGACCCTAAAGTGCAGAGGGAAGAGACCATCTGGTGAATTTTAAGCCCAGGAGTAGCCAAACCCTAAAATGCAAGTCGAAATGTTCTTGCTGACACATGCTGGCTTCAGGGCATCAGCTGCAGACTCTGGGCTGTACACTGGCACCTCCCGCGTGCCCACACCTCTGCCTCCATCCCGAAGCTGCCTGGGAACCCCTTTGCCAGTGTTCATGTATCCCAGCTCCAAGAGACAGCGTGCAGGAAATATAAGCTAAGGTATTGTTTTAAGTGTGGACTACCCATAGCACTGTAGCACTGTCTTCCCATTGTTCATCGATTTGCTCAAGCGGGCCCAGTAAAGTCTCCATTGTGACACTTGTTGTTACTGTGTTTGGCATATCGAATATGCCACGGGGAGCTTGCCAGGCTCTGCCGTGTGAGCGGGATACTCTCGGTATCTTGCTGAGCTCTCTGAGAGGGGCAGAAGAATCGAACCTGGGTCGGCCGGCCAGCAACATGCAAGGCAAATCACCTACCACTGTGCTATCGCTCCAGCCCAAACTACCCATATGCCATATAAATTCTATGAGAAACTGGGCTAGGAAAAAAGTGAAGAATCTTCATGTTAGAAGGAAGAACTGAAATCTTGAACCTTCTACGTGCAAGAAGAAATGATAGATTTGACATGTCTTTGTTAGCCATCACCTCTGTACTCCTCCCTCATCCCAGAGTGGGAAGTGTTTTGTTCCTCAAAAGTGGTGCTCGACAAGGGCCAGCAAGATTGCTCCATAGTTGGAAGCCTGCCTCATGAGCAGGGGGGAGAAGGCAGCTGGAATAGAGAAGGGATCACTAAGAAGATGATGGCTGGAAGGATAGGTCGGGATGGGAGATGTGTGCTGAAAGTAGATAAAGGACCAAAAGTGATGGCCTCTTGGTATCTGTGTTTCAAACCACAATGCCCCAAGGTAGAGTGAGAGAGTATGGGGGAAATTGTCTGCCAGGGAGGCAGGGGGAGGGTGAGAAAGGAGGGGGATACTGGGGAGCCTGGTGCTGGGAAATGTGCACTGGTTGGAGGGATGGGTGTTTGAACACTGTATGATTGTAACTCAAACATAAAAGCTTGTAACTGTATCGCATGGTGATTCAATAAAATAAAAAACAGTGTCCTTCTGTTGTTCATGGACTTGCTCAAGCAGGCCCAATAACGTCTCCATTTTGAGACTTATTGTTACTGTGTTTGGCATATCGAATACATGAGGGGTAGCTTGCCAGGCTTTGCTGTGGGGGCGAGATACTCTCGGTAGCTTGCCGGGCTCTCCGAGAGGGGCAGAGGAATCGAACCTGGGCCAACCAGATCAGCCCCGTGCAAGGCAAACGCCCTACCCCTGTGCCATGGCAGGGGTGTCTAGTGATTCCCCAATAAAATTTTAAAAAAATTTAAAAACGTGGTGCTTGAGCAGAAACAGATCTGAGGCCCCTTCCTGGGGGGGGGGGGAAGGCGCTGCACCCCCTCTGTTTACTTCCTGGCACACCAACAGTATCTGTGAGGTACAAGGAGACAGCACTCGCGTTCTGTGCGGAGGGAGGAGCACCCTTCCCTCCCCCCTGTGCTTACTCTACCAGGTCCCGGAGGATCAGAAAGGCTAAACACTCCTCAGCGGCCAGTGACCAGACTTGTGCTCAGAGAAGCGCCTCTCTCTGCACCGTGGTAAGTTTCACGCGTGGTCCACCGGCCCAGCAGTTCCTCTAGCATCCTGCAAGCTACTCTCCTTAGAAAGCTCTCAAAACAGTGCGGGGAGAAGGCCTCAGGGGCCCGGGAGGGGCTCGACCTGTAAAAGTTCCTCCCACTCCTTGCGCCCCCTCCCCCCAGGCAGCGCCGCACCTGAGGCACAGAACAGGCCCAAAGGCTCCTTTGCTGTCAACATATGGCCAAGACCGTCCAGGTGGAGCCCTAAAAATCCCGATTCCTCCTCGTTTCACAAACACCCAAAAGAGAGCTTAAGCGTGAAAGCGACAAAAAGACTGAAAGCGACAAAGGGAGCCGGCAGAGATCCCAGAGGTGCGGCCTGCACGCGCCCCCCAACTCCAGCGCCTGGCCTGCTCCCGCCCGCGCCCGCACGCCCACCCGCCCCCGCACCCCCACTCCCATTCCCGCGCTCCCACCCGCTCCCGCCCGCCTCCCGCGTCCCCAACCCGCCCCCGCCGACTCCGGCTCCCGGGACGCGCACCTGGGTCTGGGTGAGGGTCGGCCGGCGGCTCACACGGGGCCCTGCGGCGCGGAGCGCGGGGCCTCCTTGGCCTTCCTGCAGGTGTACAGCCACTTGATGATGCGCGCGTTCCTCTCCACCACCGACGTGGTGCTGGGCACCTGCTCCGTCAGCTCCTCCTCCTGCAGCCCCTCGTCGCTGCGCCGCGAGAAGCCGCTGTCGGAGGTGGCGACGCTCACGCAGCGGGACCTGCGCGCCGCGCGCTCGCCGTCGGCGGAGAAGTTCTCGCGGCCGAGCGCCTCCACCACGTCGGGCTCCAGGCCGCAGAACTGGAAGAAGGAGTCCAGCTCGGCCAGCGACACGGAAAAGCGGGAGCTGAGGTCGGACTGCGAGCGCCGCAGCCCCGCTCGCCGCGCCCCGCGCAGCTCCGGACCCCCGCGCGCGGCCGCCGCGCTGCTGGGGGCCAGGTCGGACGCGGGGACCGCGGGGCGCGGGCCGGGGGCCGGGGGCGCAGCTGCCCGCGGGCCGGGGGCCGGGGGGCGCGGGGGGCGCCGCGGAGCGCGGGCCGGGGGCCAGGGGCGCGGGGGGGCGCGGCCGTCCGCGGGCCGGGGGCCGGGGCCGCGGGGGACGCCGCGGGGCGCGGGCCGGGGGCCAGGGGCGCGGGGGGCGCGGCCGTGCGCGGGCCGGGGGCCGGGGGCACAGGGGCCTCGGGGGCAGCGGCCTCCCCGGCGCCGGCCCTGCCCGCCGCCCCTGCCGCCCCCTCCTCGGCGGGGCCCGCGGCCCGGTCCCTGCCCGGGCCCGGGACGCGCCTCTTCGCCAGCCCCGCGCGCGCGGCGTCGGCGTCGGACCCGCGGACGAAGTCGCACTTCTGCCGGTACATGACCAGCGAGTCGGGCCGCAGCGGCTTGCGCGCGATCACCCTGCGCACCACGGGCTCGGGGGCGCGTGCGGGGCCGTGGGGGTCGCCCGCGGGCCCCTCGGGCGCGAGGCCCCGCACGTACTTGGCGCGGTCGGCCGCCAGCCTCTCGGCCGCGCTCCGGCGCGGCGGCGCCTCCGCGTCCCGAGCCCGGGGGCCCGCGGCGTCGGCGTCCGGGGCGGCCAGGGCGCGCATCCTGCGGGCAGCCGCGGGGCTCGGCGTCCGGCGGGAACGTGCTCCGAGCGGCAGCCGCGGCCGAAGTCCGCGCCAGGCCGGGAGCCGCGCCCCGATACCCGCCGCCGGGTCCGGAGTCTGAGCGCGGGCGCGGTCCCCGCCCTCGCCGCGGTCCGCCCGGCCCTGCGCTTCGGGCGCCGCCTCCCGATGTCCCCGCCCGGTGTCCGGTGTCCCCGCCAGGTGTCCCCGCCCCGCTGTCCGGTGTCCCCGCCCCACTCGCCTCCCCGTCGGGGTGTTCGGGGACCCGGCACTGGGACCGCGCGGCTGTGACTGGGCTGTCCCCGCCGGACCCAGGAGCTGCGAGACGGACTTGGCGAGCCAGGGCGCTTCTCCCCCCGCCTTTGTCCTCCTGGATCCCCTCACTTTCTCCGAACGGGGGGAGGGCGGAGGGGCCCAAGGAAGGCGCCCCTAGCTAGCCCGCGGGTGCCTCGCTCCCCCTCTGAATTCCTGGCACTGTCGGTGTGCCTGGAATCGTCGGGTTCCTTCCATTTCCCGGTCCCTGCCTAGGCGCGGAGTGTCCCTCGGAAGGGACACGTCTGTGAGCAGGAGGACGCCGGCGGTTCCGGGGTCCGCGCGCAGGCGGGGGCTGGGAAGGGCCGGCGGGGCGTCCCGTCCAGTCCCTGTTTATTCGGTAACCAAGACAGCAGAGGAGCAGAGGTGGGGGTGGGTGCCAGTTTAGCAGCCTAGGAATGCTGACGCGAGGGAGGAAATGTTTCCAATTCTTCCCCAAAGTTGGACAAAGGACTGCAAATAAGTAGCAAACCAGCGAAAGGATCACGTTATCTCTTGTGTTAAAGCCCGTGCCAAGTCAGGCTGACCTTTCAGAGCAGTGGGCAGGGCGGCTCCGCAGTTTGGATGTCAGGAGGCTGCGTTCCGTCTGGATCTGACTCTGTGCTCAGAAACGCGTCTTGAGTACCCGCCCCAGTGGGCCCAGAAAGGGGCTGGCGGTGCACCACCAGGTGCCTGGGCTGAAAGAAGTTAAGCACGGTTGAACACGTGCACCTACCCCACCCCTCACGATGACCAACAATCACAGACCAGATGAGGCCTGGAGAACTTTAGTCCATCCATGCCCTGCAGTCAAGAGTGAAAGCACAACTAGGACAGGAACTTGTGTACCACGTTACCTCTTGGGGGTATGTCGGCCACTGGTTAACAGAAGGTAGTCTGTCCTTCCTTCCTTCCTTCCTTCCTTCCTTCCTTCCTTCCTTCCTTCCTTCCCTCCCTCCCTCCTTCCCTCCCTCCTTCCTTCTTTCCCTCCCTCCTTCCCATCCTTCTCCCTCCTTCCCTCCTTCCCTCTCTTCTTCCTTCCCTCCTTCTTTCCTTCCCTCCCTCCCTTCTTCCCTCCCTCCCTCCTTTCTTTACTTCCTTCCTTCCTTCCCTCTTCCCTCTCCCCTTCCCTCCTTCCTTCCCTCCTTCCTTCTTTCCTTCCTTCCCTCCTTTCTTCTCTCCTTCCTTCTTTCCCCCCTCCTTCCCTCCCTTCTTCCCTCCTTCCCTCCTTCTTTCCCTCTTACCTTCTTTCCCTCCCTCTCTTCCCCTCCCTCTCTCTCTCCTTCCCTCCCTCCCTCCCTCCTTCCCTCCCTCCCTTTTTCCTTCCTTCCTTCCTACCTTCCTTCCTTCCCTCCTTCCTTTCTCAAAGAAAGGGGTAAAGGAGAATGACAGAGGAGGAGGACACAGTTGTATTTATTGGTAAAGGTCAAAAATCCGTATTTTCGGGGCTAGAGCGATAGCATGGCGGGTTAGGGCATTTACCTTGCACGCAGCCAACCCGGGTTCGATTCCCAGCATCTCATATAGTCCCCGAGCAACGTGAGGAGTAATTCCTGCATGCACAGCCAGAAATAACCCCTGTGCAACACTGGGTGAAACCCAAAAAGCAAAAACAAAATTCATACTTTCCATTTATTAAGCAGATATTCTACTGGAAAGTGGAACTCCCTAGAGAAATGTCTGGATAAAATCGTTCTTATTGCTCAACTGCTAACAAAGTTTAGACATATTTTCCTCTCTGGCATCATTGTAATAATTTGATCAGAGAAGAAGTGTTTATGGTTGGACCTTGTGATACAGAAACTCTACAGTAACACATTTATCCAAAGTTACTTAGGTGAGAAGGATAGCTCAACAGCTGAGTGCATGCTTTGCATGCAAGAATACTGATTTAATCCCCAGAGTAATTTTAGAAGAAGACATAGTGACATCCAAATTAGAAGGACAATGTTTTCTGTAGCGGGGTATATTACACTATAATGCATAAAACCTTTCATATTATACACACAAAAACTTGTAAGAATGAAGAAAGTAAATTCACCAAAGTTTCAGGATACAAAGGGGAAAGGAAGCTCAGATAGAGAAGAGAGCATCAAATAAAGGGTGTTGGGAGGATCCTCCCAGGGTGGGAGAAGCACGCCAAAAGTAGAGTATAGACCAAACATAATTGCCACTCAATGCTTCTCTTGCAAACCACAGGACCCAAAAGGAGAGAGAGAGAACAAGGAGGAATGCCCTGCCACAGAGGCAGGGTGGGATGGGGGGATGGGGGGTGGGAGGGATGCTGGGACCTGTGGTGGTGGAGAATGGGCGCTGGTGGAGGGGTGAGTACTTGATCATTGTATAACTGAAACCCAAGCACAAAAATGTGTAAGTCTATAACTGTACCTCATGGTGTTTCACTAATAAAAAAATATATAAAAAAATTATTTTTTGCCTTTTAAAGTCAAAAAAATTGAATTTTTTGAATTTCTATGCTTTATCAATGAAAAATCATCAAATGAAATACAAAAAGTATACCATCGACAATATAATCAAAACCCAAAATGCTTAGAAATTAATATAAACAAGCAAGTGAAGACTTATACAATAAAAACTTGGAAACATTGCTGAAAACAAAACCATTAATAATAGGAAGCACATTCCATAGTCACAAGTTAGAAATTTAAATGTTAGTAAAATGACAATACTTGGGGTGAGAATCATAGTAACAGTAAGTAGGACTTGCAGAGGTGACCCGAGTTCGACCCCTAGCACCCCATATGGTCTTCTGAGCCTTGCCAGAAATGATCCTGGAGTGTAGCATCTTGTGAGCCTGGAGCACAAAAGTAAATCCTGAGCACTCCAGAGTATGATCAAAAAACAAGCAAAAAATAATTGAAAATGTCAATACTATCAAATATAATGCATAAGTAGGGCCACCTCCCAGAGCCGTCACCATGTCCACCCTGCTCTTCCCATTCATGTGAGGAGATGCAAGCCAAGCAGCTAAACTTTGTGGACACCAATCTCCCAACTGAAAACTCTGGGGCATCCTTTAGAAGGTCACTGTCCGAGCGGGCTCAGTAACGTCTCCATTGTGACACTTGTTACTGTGTTTGGCATATCAGATACATCATGGGTAGCTTGCCAGGCTTGCCGGGCTCTCCGAGAGGGGTGGAGGAATTGAACCTGGGTTGGCAGGGTCAGCTGCGTGCAAAGCAAATGCCCTACCTGCTGTGCTATTGCTTCAGTCCCTTTACTGAAGTATTTTTGGTGATTTCATTAGCCATTTAGTTGTAACAAGCTATAGAAATCATTTATTGTGTGCCTGCTAAGGGGACTTTGGGAAAACGGGGACAGTGGTGAGGGGAAGGTCACTCTGGCGGTAGGATTGGTGCTGGAATACTGAACGCCCATAGTAACTGTCTTATGAACAACTTTGTAAACCATGATTTTTTTTTAAATGAAATTTTTTTTTTTATTAGTGAAGCACCATGAGGTACAGTTGTAGATTTACAAATCTTTGTGCCTGAGTTTCGGTCATACAATGATCAAATACCCATCCCTCCACCAGTGCCCATTTCCCCCCACCCCCCCCTCCCACCCTGCCTCTGTGGCAGGGCATTCCCCTTTGTTCTCTCTCTCCTTTTGGGTGTTGTGGTCTGCAAAAGAGGCATTGAGTGGCAATCATGTTCAGTCCATAGTCTACTTTCAACATGCATTTCCCCTCCTGGGAGGATCCTCCAAACACCTTTCATTTGGTGTTCCCTTCTCTATCTGAACTGCCCTTTCCCCTAGAATATCCGGCTGACCTCTAAGTTATGGAGTAATCCTCCTGGTGTTGATCTCAGCTATTCTTAGGTATTGATCTCATATTTTGTTGCTTTATATCCCCCAGATGAATGCAATTTTTCTATGTCTATCCCTCTCTTTCTGACTCATTTCGCTTAGCATGATACTTTCCATATTGTACCACTTGTATGTAAATTTCATGACTTCATCTTTTCTAAGAGCTACGTAGTACTCCATTGTGTAGATGTACCAGAGTTTCTTTAACCAGTCATCTGTTCTTGGGCACTCAGGTTTCTTCCAGTTTCTGGCTATTGTAAACAGTGCTGCAATGAACAAACAAGTGCAGATGTCAATTCGACTACACATTTTTGCCTCTCTGGGGTATATTCCCGGGAGTGGTATCGCTGGGTAAACCATGATTTTTAAATAAAGTATTTTATTTAAAAATGTAATGTACAAGCACCATAAAATCCCTATCAAAATCCCAATGATGTTTTTGCAGAAATAGAAACCAAAAATTGGCATAGAATTTCAAGAAAATTTGAATATCTTAAATGATCTTGAAAATGAACAAAATTAAATGACTAACACTTTCTGATTAAAAGACTTAAAACAAGCTACAATAATCATGGACTGGGGAATTGGCTTATAAGGCCTGAATATATGCCTTGCATGCAGGAGAACTGGATTGGGTCCTGAGCACTGCGGAAGAGTTATCTACAATAATCAAAAGAATGGAGGATAGTCATTAAAAACAACACATCACTCAAGAGGATTGAATAGAGAGTGTGGGAATAATTTTTTTTTTAACAAAGATCCCAAGATAGTCTTTACAGAGATTAAATGGATGGGCAAGGGGAGGAGCTCTGAACAGTCGTCTTAGCAATTGTGCTGGGGAAACTACACAGAAAAATGTCAAAAATGTCTAAATCTATGCATAAAAATTAATGCTAAACTTATCCAAAACTTAAATATAACTCCCTAGATAATGAAGCTATTAGAAGAATAAATACAATTAATATCATGGCATTGCAAGTGACTGATTTCTTGGGTGTGATACCAAAGGCAGAGACAAGAACAACAAAAAAGCAAGTTCGACTTCATGAAAAGTTTTAAAATTGTGCATAAAATGACAGTACCCACTAGATACTTGTTAGTTATCTATCAAATGAAGGGTTGATAGAATTCACTCCAATGCAATAACACAAAAATAGAGCAACCAAATTCAAGTCTGAACAAAATACTTAAAATATATTTCTCAGAAAAACATACAAATGATTAATAAGTGCAGGAAAAAATACTCAAATTTCCAATCATTAAAGGAAATAAAAATTCTAAGCACTACTTCCTACTCATTTAGATGGCCACTATAAAGACAAACAAAAGAAATCTGAAGCATCAACTGCTGATGAGGGTTGGAGAACTGGAGATACTCATACGTAACGGTGAGGATGTAGAGTGATAATAATGCAGTAGGAAACAGTTTGGTGGTTCATTAAGGAAATAAAATTTTATTGTTTTGACATTAGGGGGTTACTCCTGGTTTGCACTCAGGAATTAATCCTGGTGGTACACAGGATACCATATTGGGTGCCAGGAATCAAACGCAGGTTGGTGACATGCGAGGGAAAGGCCCTACCTGCTTAATTATCTCTCAGACCCTAAAAGTAAAATTTTAAACATTGCATACTGCAGCAGTTCCTTTACTGGTTATTTATCCAACGTAATTGAAATAATGGTCTTGAAGAAACATTTATACACCCGCATTTATAGGAGCATTATTTACAATAGTTAATGTTTAAAGCAAGCCCATGTCTATTCATAAGAAAAATGTGATCTATCCATACAATGGAATATTATTCAACCTTAAAAAGGAATGAGGGTGGAGACAGAGTCCAGTGACTGAGGCGCTTGCCTTGTGTGCAAGCATTTGTTTCCTGGCACCACATGGTCCCTGAGCACCACTGGGTATAGCCCCTAAGGGTGGCCCCAACCCACCCCCCACTAGAAAAAAGAAGGAAGGATATTTTGCAATATGCTACAATATGGGTGAACCTCAAGGATTTTAGGATAAGTTAATTCAAACTACAATAACCACACTTTAAAATGTGTCTGTCAAGGAGGCAGACTGGGAGGTGTCGGAGAAAATGGGGGCATCAGTTGAGGGAAGTTGACACTGGTGACAGCACAGGTGACAGAAAATTGTATGCCTGAGGGGCTGGAGCACAGCGGGTAGGGCGTTTGCCTTGCACGCGGCCAACCCGGGTTCGATTCCCAGCATCCCATATGATCCCCTGAGCACCGCCAGGAGTAATTCCTGAGTGCAGAGCCAGGAGTAACCCCTGTGCATTGCCGGATGTGACCCAAAAAGAAAAAAAAGTTGTATGCCTGAAAGTCAACTATGACTAACTTTGTGAATTACGGTGCCTAAATTTAAAAAACAATTTTTTTTTTTTGGTCACACCCGATGTTGTTTTGGTCTTACTCCTGGCTGTGTGCTCAGGGATCACTTCTGGTGGAGATTGGGGAACCATCTGTGGTGCCAGGTATTAAACCCACGGTGGCCACATACAAGGCAAGCACCCTACCCACTGTACTAGCACTTTGGCCACCCACCAAAGCGTAGTTGAGGGTATTGATTACCCGCATAATATGGTTTATTCTTTTTTCATATTTGTTCTAAATACTTTCCAAAAAACATTGCTGCAATTTTTGATGCCCTCTTATTCTCCTCCTCAACAGAGAAAATGTCTATGGTAAATTTGGTATATGTCCGCAATGGAATACTGCTCATTCATAGAAAGATTTAAATTGTCTGTTTATGACAACACACATGGATAGGCAGGGGCTCTGCACAGATAAGTCAGTCAGAGGGAGAAAGACAAGTGCCATCTGGTTCCACTCCAGTGTGGTTTAGGAAAAGTGAAAATGATGAAAAACAAAACAAAATAAGTTTTAAATATCGAGAACAAGTTGATAGTACCCAGAAGGAAAGGAAGTTGGGTGGGTAAAAAAGCAATCCCTAACAAATAGTTAGGGAGTATCTGCAAAATATTATTTGCAAAAAAAGGACTGTCTGCACCTTGTGAATAACCAATGGAAGTTTGTCGATTGAATGGTAGGTATTTGTGTTTTCTTGCTCATCGATTGACATCTCTTTAAAACAAACTCACCACACAGATCTTTTCTGTAAAGGCTACCCCTGTGTTTGGCTGGCATGGTGACAGCTGATGCCTGTTAGTCAAAGACAATTATTATTACTTCCCCCTTTACTCTCAAAATATCTTAGCATGAACAAGAGCCCTTATAGAGACTCCAGAGACACCGCAGTTGTGACCAATTGCTTGACATAACGTAAATTCACTTTTCCACACATACTGCCCACCCTTTTGTTTGTTTGTTATCAACAAACAAACAGGCCACACCTGTTATCAGGCCATGCCTGGCGGTGCTCAGTGGTCCTGGAATTCTAACCAGGATCCGGGCCAGAGCCCCATTCTAGTCAAGTGCCTTAACTTTCAGAACTTGGGGTATTCAGACGGCTGTAGGCACTGATGAGATGATGGGCCCTGTGACATGGCGCTGGGGGTGTGGTTCTAGGCCAGTAGGCACACCTCCTGTGGTGCCCTGGAAGGGCTTGTGTGCTCTCCCACAGGAGCTATCCTCTCTAACCCTCCGCTTCCCATGTTCACACAGAAGAGATAGACTTTGGTGCCACACGAGTCTGTCTAGCTTGAGAAGAAAACATGGACAGCTCTGAAAGGTGATGTTCTCACCATTTTCTAATTCTCAGGAAAACGACTTCCACAAAGAATTCCACAGAAACGCTTCCTTCCGGACCAAGTCCAAGTGCTGGTGCCAGATCTGAATCCCCGTGCGGTGTTTGCCTATCTGGTGACTCAGCCTCATGTAAAGGCTTGTCAAGCGTGACAAAGCTCTCTCAACAATTACCTAGGTTCTGCCTTCAAGGTAAATAAACGTGCTTTCCCAAGCACTACCATCAGCAGGGAGGCCAACTACTGGGGAAATAGGAGACCTTAGGGCCTGCTGTGAAGAGGGATTCCTGTCCTGTGGTCATGGTGCGTGTGGGCCTCATGGAGCAGCTGCGGTTGTGTTGGTGCCTCCGGAGCACAGGCTGAGCAGAGCAGAGCCCAGAGCCAGGGGGGAGCCAGTAGAAGTAGGTGGGGCAGGTCTACAGAGAAGCCGCTGGCCTCGCTCTATTCATGCAGTTCTACCATCACTGTGCCTGCCTGGCGCCGCACACAGCGTACTTGGGAAACCCTGGAGCCCCGCAGTTTCTGAGGAGGATAGTTGGCAGATAGGCTGGTAGCCAAGACATCCTGCAGTGAGAACACAAGTCCTGGGCTTGTCTGCAGGACACGCATAGTGACGCCCAGAGGCTAATGTGTGGCAGTCATTCCTTCTTCCGGCTCTGTTCTGTGATTCTCCTTCCCGGAGGCTCAGCACATGGCAGTTTCCAATGCTATTGCTGCCACGAAAACACTCCTCTGAGTGTGCCGAGGTACCCAGACCCAGACCATCTTTGCAGCGTGCCTGCTTCTGTCTCAAGCTTTTCACTCTGGTGCCAAGAAGATTGGTAGATTTGCTAGGTATTTTCTCAAGAGGCAGACATGATACTAACTATTTTTCTGTTGGCTTCCATCCAGTTTTCTCTGAAATTTGCTGGATGTATGCTTTGCCATAGCAGCTGCCAGTGTTTCTTATCTAGCAAACCTGGTCAGGTGGAAAGAGAGATCAGGCAGTCATGGGAGATGGTTGCAAGTGTGGCAGGCTTACAGGGGGCCACGGGATGCAGCTGGAAATGCTGGAGAATGTGTTATCCAATGTGTCTGCTTAAGAGGCCACGGTAACTGGGCCTAAACCATGCAAACTGGCCTTGTTTTCTTGAACCTGAATCAAAGCCAAATCTAAAAATAGGCTTTTGGCCACTCCTGACTCCAGGAACAAGAGTCCCCAGGGACTCTGCAGAACTGCTATGGAGGCATTTGCAAGGGAGAAGAAGTCCTGGGCGTCTGCCCCTTAAAACTGTCCCTTGTGACCAAGATTACTTCAAAAGGAACCAAGAACTCTGTGCTCCAAGAGTCTCTTTCCTAGGGAAGAGTGATTTGGGCCACACCTGGTAGTGCTCAGGGCTCACTCTGGTGGTGCTCAGGGAGCCATATGTGTGTTGGGAACAGATCCGCTGCATGCAATGTGAGTGCATTAGCCCCATACTATCTCTTCAGTCTCTGTGATTTTTTCTTTTTCCTTTTGTTCCCCCCTAGCTCACTCCTAGCTCTGCTCTCAGGGATCAATCCAGGCAATTCTTAGGGGACCATTTGTGGTTATGGGGGGTTCAGCCTAGGTTGGCCACATACAAGGTAAGTGCTTATTAGCTCCTGTACTCTCTCTAGTCCCAGAAATCCTTTCAGTGTTGTTTGTTGCAGCCTCCTCAGACTTTCTGAGGTGGAAGCTATGTTGGTGTCTGTGTGAAGTTTCTGCAAGCTGACACAGACGCCTTGAGGCGTTCAAAGAAAATCAATATAAGGGCCTTTTTAATTTTGAGGAGCTTGAAGAGAGGTGCAGAATGTCAGATTCTTATTTTCTACACTCTATTTCCTCACTTCTCCCCATAGCCTATCTGGTGAAGTGGTTACCCAGTCAGTGACAGGAAGAGGAGCATCATCTGTCTAGCTGACTAAAACAGTCTTGTTTTAATTTACATCTATTTCCTCTTGCTCTTCTTCTATAAGCTTTGGGGAAATGGATTTTTTATAGCACAGCGGGTAGGGCGTTCGCCTTACAAGCGGCCAGCATGGACGACCCGAGTTCGATTCCTCCACCCCTCTCGGAGAGCCCGGCAAGCTACCGAGAGTATTCGATATGCCAGACACAGTAACAACAAAGTCTCCAATGGAGACGTTACTGGGCCCGCTAGAGCAAATCGACGATCAACGGGAGGGCCTTTACCTTTACCTTACCTTTTATTAAAATCCATTTAAATGATAGTTATTTTGATAACTTCCTTTAAAGGATTCTTTCATTATTTAGTCATCACTATAATTACTTGGTCACCTTTGAGCTCTCGCGAGTTTTCCAACTTCCTTCCAAACAGTTTACGGTACCTGTGCATTCAGGAGAGAGGAGATACAACGGAAAGGGCCTTGTGGCCAAGCAGTGCTGCCGTGTCAGTCCCAGCCTCCCCCCTTCCCCCCACCCTGGGCACTGGGGCAAACACATAGACTCCTTGGGAATATTATGGAAAGTGAATCCCAATGGCAAGTAACCCGACTGTTCCTCCAGTGAGAACCCACGTGCTTGGTGTTGAGTCTGAAACTTCAGATAGTGACACTTTAACCTGAATGAAGGAAATGTAGGTGATTTTAGTCACGTGTTTATAAGCTCCTTAAAGGGTTTGAAGGCAGGCATAGGTATCATTCTTCAGTGAATGTGATTTTACTCGGACCTGTGTTGAGAGGGAAGATGAGACCACAGTGGAAGGCGCCAGTGGTATCAGGACCCTGGCTCTGTTCCTGCGGATCTGCCCTGGGGACCCAGTGACAACACAGCCTGGTTTAGACGTGTAAACTCAGGATCTATCAGGTCCCTCTGATCAAAGGGACCAGAAGCTTCTAAAGATGATGACTGAGACCAGGATGTGAATTAAACCCATACAAACTTTCAGAGTAGTTGCAAGGGAGAATTATTTATTTTGTACCTTGAAAAGGAAACATTGCTTTTGAGATAATTTTCTCTTAAAAATGTAGATCTTGGCAGGCTGGGGACCCCACATGGACCTGAGAGTTCCACTCTGGCCCGAGGGCAAGGGAAGGGCTTGGCCCTGAGGCCACCGCAGGGCTGTCACTCCAGATGTGGACTGCAAGGGTATCATGCCATCAGGACAGGGTGGTGACAGCCCCCTCAGGGTTGTGTGGGGTGGCAGGCTATCTTTGAACTGGTCAGGACAACTTCTTTGAACTGATAAATTCTTCCTTTGATTCTGACAGTCTGGAGTCTACAGAAAAAGGGCACGGGGTCGCTCACAAGTTCTCATAAGGTAAGGGCAGCTCCCAGGACCGCAGCAGGTCTCAGAACTTAGCCTCTTGCCGTCCTTTATCCTTCTTTGCTTCTGTTTTATTTTATCAGCCTCTTCAGCTGGACTCAGGAACCTTTCAAGTCAAGTCCTATCCAGGTGATTCTTGGACAACTGGCCAACGCAAGATGTGCGAACCACCAGGGCCTCGCTCAAGGGTGCTCAGGAGGCCTCTTGGTTCTGGGAACTGAACCTGGTGGGTGCACCTAACCCCCAGGCCATCTGCCTGACTTTATCCATAAATCCCTTCTCCAGTGCTCCTGGGTGTCTTCAGGCTGAGTGGTGACAACCAGGCAGAGTTGTCACTTATCAAAGCTGCAGTCCAGGTATTGAAGATGACAAGAGTGGTGATGCCCAGGACTCTCTGTGTCCTTCAGAGTCTGTGGAGCTGGACAGACACTGTGAAGGCCTGTGTCTGCAAGCACAGCCCCCAGCCCATCAGCAGTTTTGATGATGAAAGAAGGGGCACAGCGGAGGAATGGACAGTCCCCAGAACTGACTAAACCCCTTAAGGACATACATCTCTGGAGTTTCCAGAAGAAACACAGTTCTGCTACCCCATTTTAGTTTTTGATGTGCAGACACTGTCAAATAATACACTTGCTATTTGCGATTCATTAGCAATAGAAACGAAACACAGCCATGTATCTGTGTTTGTGCTGTTCATGACATGGACCGTGAGCCAGGGGCTCTCCAGACTGTGCTCAGCTCTGCCAGCTGCAGCCTGGCTCCCCCTACACAAGCTGGACTTGTAAAGGTGACCTCATCCTGTGCCGAGTCTGTTCCACAAAACTGGAGCTGAGACACAGTGACCGTCTCCTGCTGGGCTGCCAGCAGCCCGCATTTCCACACCCACATTCCTATAGCTTATGTGTGACCTGTCTCTGCTCTCCCTGGAGAAATCTGCTCTCATCGTTGCTGACTCAACAGAGGTACATTTGCTGAAAACTTTCTCCACCCAACCCTCCTAACTGGTTGTGAGACACCTGCAAGATGCCTGAATTTTTCCTGAGCCCTTTCTGGAAATGTGTTCACTCTAGATGTGCTACTCCAGCATGCTGGGCTAGAGGAAGCCTCTGAGCTGTGTTCTGTGCCCCTGAGCCCCCTTGTGGGTTAATTTGGGTGTGGAGACATTGGATTGAATATCCTGAGAGACAGACAAGGATATGCGCTTTGCAAGGGGCCCAGGTGTGGAGGAGAGGCCCGCTGGGAGCCTCCCTACCATTTATCCATGGCTTAAGGGGGAGAAGAGCACCTTTCTTAGAAGGGAGGAGCATGGGCCTTCCCTGCAAGATGGGAGTTCAGTGTGTCTGAGTATTCCAGCTCCCTGTGAGTTTTAGCTACTCTCCTGCAGTGCCGAGGTAGTTCTAGAAACAGTGGCCCAGACACAGCAGCGAACACATATAGGCACCCTCCTCAGGCTTTGTACAGAGCCACGAGACCCTCACACTTTCAACAAAGACGGCCCTTTCTCATCCCTCCTCGGCACGTGATGAAGTCACTGGAGAGGCGTGTGGGAGGAGAGCACAGATGAGTGGTACATGGGGGCTGACGTCCAACAGGCTGGTGTGAACAAGCCCCATGACCCAGGTCATCATCTCAGGACACTGTGCTGCAAGGGGAAGGAAGGAGGGCTGGGAGGGTCACGGTGATGCCCACAATGACCAACTGAGGCCACTCCCATGCTACTGTCAGTCTCTGGGGTCGACCAAAGAAGTATTTAAGCTATATACCTCTCTACTGTTTTTACTTGTATTTATTATTATAGTTTAGGTTGTAATGTTACTATAGGGTTGAAATTTAAGGTATTGATGTACAAAGCTTTTTATACCCCTGCAAGTGTAGTATCCATGACCCTCCATTCCACCCCTACGTCACGTCTGCTCCGACCATCTCTTCCACACACACCCCCAACTATTTTCAGATTGACAATCATTCAACGCAGACTGATCCTTCCCTTAGCCACCACCCACATGCTCCAGACCCTCGGTCTATGCACCCATGTATAGCTGACTAATTCAACCTCCTCATTGTTCTCTCCACCAACCTGGCACTCTGGTCTGTCATCCAGTGTCCAACCAAGGTTTATTATAAGTTGCCCTATATGCCACATCTCGGTGAGGTCTTCCTACATTTGTCCTGCCTTTGACTTGTTTCACTCAGTTCCATCGACGTTTCAGCAAACTGAAAGTCTTTAGTTTCACTTGGAACTGCTTAGTGTTCCATTATGTATATAAGCCAAAACTTCTCTATCATTCTTTTGTTGTTGGGCTTTTGGGTTGGTTCTATATC